TTAGCAACAACAATGCTTTGATTATCCTAACAAAGCCTCTTGACCAGTGCTAAAAGAGCACAGTTTTCTCCCTGCTGCTCTTTAACAGATATCAAAGAGGTGACTCAGGATGATTTTACAGCAGTTGGCAATATTAACATCAAGGCTGGATGCAATCAGGTGATTTTACTATCACTTACCCAACAGTCTACCATGTTTTTTGTTGTCTGATGCCCTTCCTACAGAAGAAACAGCTACAGAAACAATCCTGATTAAAACAGATCACTGGTAGGAGGAACGAAAGATAAATTTCCCTCTGGGCTTAGATCTTTACAGAGGTGGCTCTGAAAGGTCACAGGCTTCCTGTAACAGGCATGGCAGCACAGCAGAGTCTGCATTTAACCAGTTGAGTGGGGCTGTAGATCTCTCTAGATGGTGGCAAAGATTGCTGTCCTTCCCAACTCTAACCAGCTGCTCTTCTACTGGATTTGGCGAGAAGGTAGTTGTAGCAACAGCGAGAATGGACAGGAGTGGCAGTGAACATCTCAACCAAGGACAACAGGCAAGAAGCCCACTCTAGCAATCCCCTACTCTCTTGCTAGGTAGGCCCAGTCAACATTAGCTATCTCATGTGCCTTCTGCTGCCAGACCCTGTCCCATCCTGGCATTTGCAGATGCGCTCCAGCATCCAAATAATCCCACGTGTGAATTCCCAAAGCTCAAAGTGATTTTTTTTAAGATTGTGTGAGGAAAGGTGATGACAATTTGTCTGCTATTTAAAGCAGCAAACAAGGATTCTGCTACCTGTATTTCCTGTGGTCTCTGAGAAGTAAATCACTGAATTTCAGTGCTTCTATTCTCTACCTATTAAATGAGGATTTCTTTGATCCTTTCCCTGTTTATTTAAGCTGCTCTGTCTCTTACTGTGTGTTTGTACAATGCTTGACCTAGTGAAGTCACTTCTCAGTACTCATCTTGTAGGTACTGCTCATAATCCAGACAGCTGCCCGGGTTATTGGTGCCAAGCTGCACAGACTTGCTCAGAGCAAGATTAGTGAGATGAGTGTGATACCTTGGAGACCTGCTGAAGCACAGGTGCAGCTCCACCAGTGGTGACATTGGGGCAGCACAGAAAGGGCAGGGGCCAGCTCAGCTGAGAAGTAAAGCTTTTATGTTATAACACAATGTAAGCAAAAATAGATACCTCACCCTTGCAGCAGTACTGTGCAGGGGTTGCTTTGTCAGGGCACTCCTTTAAAGCTGTAACCATGGGTGCATCTGCAGCAGGTCTTCTTCAGATTGGGAACAGCTGCTCTGGGGATTATACATGTGAAAGGAAGACAAAGCTCTGCTGTATTTACAAAGGAATAGCAAAATCCTCAGGTAACTCTTTACTTTGACCAGGAGAGTGAGAATATTTGCTTTTAAAAGGTATGGCATCTTTTCTGGTCTCCCATGTCCTGAAATTTTTCTGCTGCTGTTGTCAAAGACGAGAGGCCTCTGCAGTACAGCTCATTTTGTTTCTGGCAAGTGGTGTTTTCTGAGTGACTCAAGGACTGTGGTTCTGGTAATTTATTGGATCTTTCTTCTATTATTACTGAGTTATACTGGGTAACAGACATCCACTGATACAGGGTCCTGTACACCATCAGGAATATGAACTAAGAGGACCAGAAAGTGTCCACTGACTACAGATGGAGGGATGATGATTACCAAGTATCTTGTTCATTTTGAGGCTTTGGCTTTGCATTTAAATGTTACCTCCACTGGTGAACAAATGTCTGCTGGCTGCTGCTGCTATTGGTTTCACACAATTTCACTGTTCTCTCATAGTGAAAGCTTGGAGTTAGGGCAACTGTGGTGACTGCTAATGGCTATTGTTTTATCTCAACTCTGAAAACCACAGAAAGCCATACTTGCTTTATGTGCCAGACTGCTATGCCTTCAATCAATCCTCTGCAAGGACTCAAAGGTGAGTGATTTGCAAGGAGTGCAGTGGTGCTAACCTAAAAATCCTTCTATTTGCAGTTGTGCTGAGATGAAAGACCATGCAGATGTCAATGTCACTAAATAAAAGGGTTGGGCTCTTAAAGTGAGACTCAGCAGGCAGGATCTCTAAGATTTAGTAGCTGGCTTTCACAGAATGACCTATGGCTTCAGAGGCCTTCCATCTTTAAACTATGAGGAAGGGATGCAACCATTTGTCCTCTTTAAAGCTTTCTAATGCTTCCTTTCAAGATTCAGTTTGGGTTTGCATCTACTCGTGAGCTGTATGCATCATATATTTATCATAAACTTGCCATCTGAAATACAAAGTCTTCAAAGCATGAAGAATACCCTAAATAGACCTCTTCTGTTAACAGTGTGTCCGTGCTTACTTTTTTCCTTACATAAAGAGGTATTATTTGTTTTATTTTTCTTTCCTAGTAGTAGAGAGGCCTTGAATGGAATAATTCAATTAGAAAAAACAATTATTATGTTTATAGTATCCCACTGCTGCTTCTGCTTCCTAGAGTCCTGCCTGGACTCTTCCTTAATCTTCTCTGATCAGTCCTGGTAGAGGTGAAGAGGAAGACCTTCAAAGAGGAGATGAAAACTGCAGTTTTTTATCCTTGCAGCAGTCTGAATTGCTGGCTCTTGCAGTATTGTCTATTCACTGGAGTTAAGTAACGTGATTAAAATCTCAGCTGAAACAATCTGTTCCTCCCCAGGTTTGTTTATCTGCCTTCCTTACTTTGTTTAAAGCCTGCTAAGTAGTGTTGTGTGGCCATGAGAGTCAGAACAGTGGAAACTTATATTCTGATAAAATGCTGCGATATCAACAAAAGGCTTAAAAATGTATGTGTTTAAAAATTAGTATTTTGGCAGGTTTTTATGTGAGTTTACAATTCTTGTGGCAGCAGCTGTTTGGTGCCAGATTCTATGAAAAACTTCTCTTTTTCAATATTATGAAACTGGAATATATGATGTGGTTTGTTTGAATCATATTCCCTGTGAGAGGAAAGCAAAAGTGATTTTGCAGGGACAGATTTTATAACGTCTTCAAAGTGAGTTTACTGTTGTTTTCATCCAAGAATTGAAACTTAGGAGCGTGACAGAAAGCTTTCTGCATAGCACTCCCGTGATTAGCTTGAAATCAATTTTCAAGTGACTTAGCTTCTAAAATTTAGCAAAAAGTAGGCCTAATCTTGCATTCACTGAGGTAGCTTAGAAAGAAGCCATGGTGAGCTGATAAGATTTAAAAACTCTAGACTACAGCTGAGCAAGGAGCTGAATTTACTGGTCCCCACCCACACAGTGTTTGTCTTCCCTAAAACCTTGTTCTTTCATCTTCCTCTCTTTGGTTTGTTTCTTTTCCCCTTTTTCATCTAATCATAAATACAAGCTTGGGAGCTCCCTAAGATAAGAGTTGGTTTTCCTTTTGCTATAATGTACTGTAATAGGCTCAGATTTCACACTGAAACTCTCAAGTGTTATAATTGAGAAGAATAATTACCTTTTGTTTTTTGCGTAAGTTTTAGAAACTGCAACAAATATCCAGTACTTAACTTCTGCCATCGTCTCTCAGTGGCAGAACTGAAGCCTTCATGCAGCAGTTTAGGCTAGCTGGTGAAACTTTCCATGGCCCTGGGGGAAAGAACTCCTTTGGAGGCACTGAAACTCTGTAGTTCTTATCACCTGCAGCCAAACAACTCTGTTTGGGCTTGAGAAAAATCCATCTAGAATGCTTAGCTCTCAGTCATATTCTGCAGACTGAAGTCTACTTTTCATACCAGAAATCAAAGCATTCCCTCCTTTCCATTCCCTCCTGTAAAGCTGATTTTTAACACCCTCCTGCTTCAAAACAGAATTTATTGTATTGGTCAAAATCCAAATATGTTCAGGGGCTAGATACAGCTGCCACACACTTGGCAAAGCTGTAGACCTGCTATATCATGGTTTGCATGTGCTACACCTTGGAGTGCTGTTGGGTTGGAAGAGGGGTAAATGCAGGTAGGTCTCAGCTCAAAACTCCTAGTACCCAGTAAATCTCCAAATGAAAAGCCACTCCAAAGTCTGACCTTCTTTGCAAGCTAAGAATTGGGTCATATATAATTCTGAGTGCAAATTTATGTTTTATTTTGCTGGGCTAGATTAAGTATTTTCCCCTGTGCGCTTGCCTAAAAGACAGATTAAAAGATCCATCCAGTGACACAGTTTTTGAAAACTCCTCTAAAGTGCCTCACAACTATAGAGCTAAAATGAAGTGCCTGGGAAAGACTTGCAGGAAGTGAAGCAAGCAATACAGAGGACGAGACCAGTGGACTGCACATATGCTCAGTGGGGTTTACCAGTCTTCTATGGTTGAAAAACACCAAGTTAATTTATCTGTTAAAGCATATATTTGTTTTTCTTCAGGAACATTATTAATCTATTAATTACTTCAATAAAGAAATTATGACTACACTTGAGCTCAGTTATCTGACTAAAATTAATAATAAATTGTTTCTTTCTTTAAAAAAAATAAACCCTTCCCTTGTATCTAGGGAGCCAGATACAGCCAGGTCTTTCTTTTTACTCTAAGAAAGACATGCCAGAGAATAGATATATTTCATACATACTTGTTCTGTACGTGACTAGAAGTTATAAGGAGCACTCACAAGCTCCCATTATTAGGAGCACTGACAAATCACCCAACAGTGTTTGGAGAACATCAAACAAATTGTTTGTGCTCTATTTCATTGTCTCAGTGGGGACTTCTTTCAGCTGTTGCCTCTAAGCACCAAGCTCAAGGAACTGTGATATTATCACTGTACTACCCACATTATTATATACTGAAGCAGAGACTTTAGATTTTCCACAGCCCTCCTGGGAGCTTAGGCATATCTCCCATAAAATTTTATTTCCATACACTGCAATCTCTGTGAAATCTGCTTCTATTGCTGCTACGCGTTTTTTAGGAGAGGTGAGCAACTGAGTTTCCTCTTCAAGGTGTGCACTTAACTTGATTTACAGAAAGTTATTACAGATCAACAGCGTGCTCGTTTTTAGAGTGGACCCCATTTATTGGATGGACATCACCTCTCAGCTGTTGCCAAAAGGGTCGGAACACATCCAAGAGCCAGCTGTGCTCACACCACATGGGCACAGCTCCAGCTGCTCCATGCTCCAGGCTCCCTGCTCCAGCCAGCAACAGGGACAGGCCAATCCCTGCAAATTAGTGGAGCTTCAATGCTTTGTCTTTTGTGACTGTCTTTGAAATTCTCTCATGGCAGGTTTCAGTGCACTGCATTTGTCATTTAGGCATTTCGTTAATTGTATGGCAAGTCCTGCTCTGTGAATTGAGTGCTGTATGCCTCTTCCTGTCCTGGCACTTCCTTTTGGATATGTACAGTACCTGAAGAACAAAGCATGGCTTTTAAATAAGTAACTGTTGCAAGCAGATGGATTGTTAGGAAATAACTGGCTTAAATGAATGTTTCATCCCATAAACACTTAGTAAGAAGCCTCAGTCAGAACTTGTATCTTTTTTTTTCCATGACAGTAAATTAACTGAGATACAAGTTAATCAAAGAAAAGCCCTCTTAGTTCTGATGTTCAAGGTCTGTTTGTTTTTCCTCTCTTTTACAATTCCAGCAAATCTCAGCACCCTTATACATGTTAAATAGTTATAAAATATTTTAAAAGTTCTTTGGAAAAGAAAAAATTTAATTGTAGTTTTTTTTCTTTCCTTCCTTGTTACTCTGTGCTAGCTATATCACAAAGGAAATAGCAGTATCTGTTACATTACTAATATTTCTATTATTATTCTGGAGCTGGGAATATACCCTCACATATTAAATCTAGCTATGCAGAAGCAAAACAAAACAGATGCTGCTCTTGTATTTGTATTTGAAATTGTAGTACTTTTAATCTGCTTGCAAACTGCTCCCATTGTACTAAAGTGCTATATTTAAAAACTGTGCAACCCTTTTCAAAGGAAGCACTGTGAGGAGATGGCAGCTGATGCTGAAATCTCGGCTTGATAGAATATTAAACTATTTAGAATTACGCTGGCATACGAAAAAAAGCTCTAAAGTGTCCATGGCTTTCCTGGAGCAAAAAAATACTGGGAAAAAATAAAGATCTTGGAACCAGTTCTGTAACTGGCAAGATTTTCAAACAGTAGCATTGAGTAAGCCCAGCATTCTCAGCAAAAGAGTGTGACTGACTCAAGTCAGTAGTTCCAGAGGGGAAAAAAACCAAAACAAAACGAAAATGCTGTCACAAACTTAGGGCAGGGGGTGGGGAACCTGTTGCTGAGGTGAATATGTCTTTGATCAGTGTAAAACCATTGAAGAAAACATGCAAGCCAAGGCTTGCTTTTATGTAGTATCACACATTGGACATTTTGGAATTACTCATGATGCAGAAGGCTTCTCTTGTATACTGAAGGATTAAGGTAGGAGGTATCTTTTGTCCGTTTATTAAAGAAATGTATTTGTTGGGGTTTTTTTTAGTGCCAGCTGCTTAGTGGGGGTAAGGAGACTGGAAAGCAGGGATATATGCAACAATAATGTTTTTTCTACTTGTTAAAACTGCCTCATAACTAGTCGTATGTCTGGGTTTGGATTTTGTGACTACTAACTTTGTATCATATGAAGATGGGATCCATGCTTAACCTTTACTAATTACACTCTGCTATTAAATGAACAATAAGAGAGTTTGAACAAGCAGACAGTTTTGCTATACTAGTCCTTAACACAAAGATGCTGCTGGGGACAGACCTTTTGCTGTCCCACCTGGCCACAGGAAGGAGAAGGTACTCTACTCAGACAAACACGTGTACACAAAGTGGTCAGACTGTTCTCTGCAAATCTGGAGTCACTGCCATTACAGCCGTCCCTTTAGAGGATGGAGCAACCAAAATTTCAGAGTTTGGAAGGTGGAGATTACAATTTCAGTCACTCTGAGCCAAGACTTGCTCAGTGTGACTAAGAACATTTATGAGCTAGTACCACTTTCATTCAGCTAACACACCTAAGCAGCACCGAAGATGCAACAAAGTGTGACTGTCAGTATCAAAGAAGGAGTCTTTTTGTTTGTTAGCCTGCTATGTGGCATTATTTATATTTATGAAAATGAAAGCAGCAAAATGTAAATGTTAGACTTCATGTGAAGGTAGGTATGAAATGAGAATAAGTTTAGTTAACTGTTTTAATCAGTGGTAACTTAAATTGTAACACACAGTGATTCCATCTCCTAGTGCTCTAAGCTTTGTTATTTATTGTGAGGAAATAAATCAGATTTTCTACCACCAACTCCTTTTTAATAATCAAAGCAAAATAATTCATGCAGCATGTAAGTTATCATAAAAGAATCCAGCAGATGTAGCAAAGATGATAAAAGGCTTCCTTGTGCAAAACATTTTGTATGTCAATTTAAGAGATGGTCTTAAGAGCAAAACTTCATGTGTTGCAATTTGTCAGCTATTTCATTCTTACCACTCATTTTCAAGGCGGTTCTCAGAGTCTGTGGTGAAACCACTGTAGTATTTTATTTAGGAACTCAATATTCTTCTAGAACCATATAATGACAATTCAAAGTAATAAAGTAATACTTTTTTAGTTCTAATCTTAGATCTAGGGTATAGTTGAAGAGGAGTAAGTTCAATTTTTGAACGTACAATGAAGCTACTGTTGGTTACTGTAATAATTATCATTATTGCTATTACACATTCATTAATACATATTACGCTAGCCTAGGTCTGCCATGTCATTGTATTGAAACACTGTTGATTTTTCTGTTTCATACACATTGAGAAATCTGCTCTGTTTCCACATGGAGCAGCAAGAATTGGTGGTATGAGGCTGCTAACACGTCTCTTTCATGAAGACGGAGGGTTGGGATACCATTGCTACACGCCAGCTTCTGTAGTCGGCAGCGCATTTTCCCTGCAATAATTTCATCCTCCTTATGGCTTCATTCCTTTGTGTTTTACAACTAATTCAGCTCCATGATGCAGCTGGTTCCTTCCTCTCCCTCCTTCAGCATTTGCTCCTGTGTGCTTCTGTCCTTTACTCTTCTGTACTTCTGGCCATATCCCCCTGCATCTGCAGTGTATGGGCTCTGGGTCATTTCTCTAATGTTTAATTTTTCATTTGATTTGCATCAAATTTGTTACACGCAACACATGGTGCTATTAAAAAATAACTCTAAGGTGATTAGCTATTGAACTGGATAATGAATGTCATTGGCCTATTCTACAGAATGATGGTATTTAATAAAAACAAAAGGAAGACTGTGCTTATCTGGACAGGGAATTTCAACCCCACTGACTTTGCTTTGGAAGGAATTTCTCATCTGCTGTGTCACTAGATGTGGTTGTATAAAACAGTCATATCTACTTGAGTGGAATTTACCTTTAAAATGACCAGCACTAATGAAAGCTCTGATTTAATGTCCTGCTACAGTGAACCTCTCGTGAACTGCTAGCTTTTAATTTCCATGAATTGCTATTTCCATATGAAAGGCAGTTTCTCCTGAAGAATATGTGAAGCCTTGCAAGTAGTTGTTTGATGATCCTTTGCATTTTTGTTGTTATCCGGGCACTGCAAGATAGCTCCTGTGGTGCATGTGGTGATGTGCATTAAAAGGTAACCTAAGTCTCTGCTGGGTAATAATATTTAAACTTCCAAGAATCTTATCTTTCCACTGTATGCTGATTCTTTCTTGGCAATATTTCAACCAATTTCATGGTCCGCATCCCTAATAAGGACTATCTAAGTTTCACAGAGTCAGTTAATAGCTGCAGCATTGGAAGCCTGGTCCTTTCAAACCTGTCCTGAACCAAAATTATCCCTGGACCATTATGGAATTAAAAGAAACAAAAACCCAAAAAACTACTTTACCATAGTGAGGAAGCTGCATGTTACGCAAGTACTGCTTCTTTTTCTTGAAACACAAAGGTTTGTCCCAGGCTCTCTTCTGTGCGGAAAATATTTACAGACTATATGTATAAAACATATGTAGAAAATAATATATCACTATTTACACTGGTAAATTGGTATCCAGGAAAGGGGAGAAGGTTTTTAGCCCAGAGAAGCTGAAGTTGCAGTTGTTTTCATGAGCTGAGGAATGCTGAGCCAGAAAGAACTCAGATCTGTAGCCATTAGGTAGGAAATGAGAAAAGTATAAATACATGAAATGACTCCAACATAGAAATTAGGTGCCTCCTTATTTTGCATTAAAAAGTCTGTACGTGGCTCGAGCCTTTTTTTATTGTTTCCTCTTACATGTATCTTGCAGTTATTTTCAGCTGTCATCTAAGATCAGCCTGCTCCCCCCATTTAGCTACACACTTGAAAAGAAAGTAAGTACACTTCTTTCTGTACACTTCCTTCATTCAAGACTTCTACAGGATAATCAAAGCCTTGCTTCACCCTTACCTTCAATTATCAAAGGTTGAATGTGTCAACTCTCCTACACTCCCACTAATTTAGATACCATTACTCCATAACACCTGGAACACCTGCCCAGTCTGTACGTTTGACTTCTAAAGTAGCAAGAAGTGTATGGGAGGAGTTGATCAACGTGGATTGTTATTTAATAGTTGTTTTGCAGAAATGCCTACAGGCATTAATTAAGATCAAGGTGCAAAACACTAAGAAGACTCACGGTGAAAAATAGTCCCAGTTCCGGAGAGTTCATAATTCACTTCATAGCAAGTTACAACAGGTAGATGCAATAAATTAACTGTAGGGAGTGTCCAAGCATTTTCTGGAGAGCATGGATAATTTTCATGTATATATTTACAAATATATACAAATGCTCATGTTCCTGAAGATGTTAATTTCTACTTTTTCTTAAAATGACCTTCCCGATGTCATAAAACTCTTCTTCCAAAAAACTGCATAATCTATCAGATTCCAACATGTGGTGTGTTGGATATGCTATACCTTAGAAAAACATCAGTTCTGTATCCCTCCCTTTTCAAGAGCACTGAAATATTATGTACTGACGGCTGTACAGCAGAACAAGAGATAAAGGCAAGCTTTACACATTTTATGTTTAAAATTAAAATACCTTCAATAAGGGTAGGAGCTGGCCTGTATCCCTCCTTGTGGAATTAATTGTAAAATGTGTTATTAAAAAGCTGTGTAAAGTTTGAATGGATCTTGGTAACAATCAGACGTTATGATTTAGAAGAGTGTAATATCTAATAGGCTTATTTTTGCATTAAAAATAGGGGATACTTAATTTGTAGGTGAAGATAAAGGTCGATTTGATTTATTTCAGCTTGTCAAGTTTTATGAATAAATCTATTATCTCCAGTAATATTCTGTAACAAGGTACTTCTAGCTGGTTTCCTCCAATTTTAAATTACTGAAAACCATCTATGAAATAATTAAGGCCCACTTTTACCATTACTATAAATGCTTTTCTATTACGTTGTATGTAGTGTAAAATACTGCCAAATCAGAAACCTTACCAGTTGGCCTCAGGGGTAGTAACTTGCTCCTCCTTTCCATAGAAGTAAAATCACCTTCCTATACAAATAGACCACTTCCTCCAAAGAGAATCATCTGCAAGATTAGGATGTAAATAACTAACAAACTTAAAAGCAGTGAAACATTAATCTCAGATGTAAGCAAATTAGAATTTTATTTTTAGTAGGACTGGAATGGGTATTTTAACATTTCAATAATATGAAACCTTGCCTACAGCACATGGTGGAATTTTTGTTATGTGCCTTTACTATTAAGTTACTTCTCTTTTATATAAAATTCTCTGATATTTAAAATACAGAGTACAATGCTTTCAAAGGGGAAAACAAGAAATACGATTGCCTGAATACACTAATGATTTCATTCCTTTTCAGCAGCCACATAATGACATCTTAAATTCTTCCAGAAAAAAAGCAAGACTAGTATTGAAAATGCCACTTTTTCTTTTTTTTTTTTTTTTTGCTGGAGCCCAGCTGGTCAGAATTGGATGGTTGCCCAGAGAAGCTGTGGGTGTCCCATCCCTGCAAGCGTTCAAGGGCAGGTTGGATAGCGCTCTGAGCCACTAGTGGAAGGTGTCCCTGCCCACAGTAGGGGGGGTTGAACTAGATGATCTTGAAGGCCCCTTCCAACCCAAACTATTCTATGATTCTATGATTGCAGTACGAAGTAGAGAAACTTGGATTGGTAGAGTAGATTAGCACACTAGTACTAGTTAGCAGTTAAACATATGCTTTTATCAAAAATATTGATTAAATTTTTATCTAAAGATGAAGACTTCTGCAGTATGCTCTGCTCTGAAGCCAGTGTGTCTGATCCTTCCTGGTGCCATTTTACACTGAGCTGGTGTACATCCAGCATAAGCAGGAGTAACCATCTACATTGCCACAGCTGTACAGAAGTTACAGTGGCAAAGGCTGTAAGGGAAAAAAGCTGTGGGAAGGAACAGAATGATGGCAAGATAGCAAAAGTAGCTGAGACAAAATACTCCCCAGGCCTCCTCTAAAACCTGTATGTCCTGGAAACAGTAAATGGGTTATCAGACATTAGTAATTAGTTCCGGGAAAGGCTTCACTGCTCAAATCAGGCTGCAATATTAAAATGAAGAATTACTTAAAATATCCCTGTGCTATGGGAAACCTTCCTCGTAAATAAGCTAGGTGCTGTGAGTGTTCACTCCGACCCGAGCGCTGCTGCCATCTCTGTGTGCCAGGCGTCCCTCAGGACCGCCTCATCCATTCCGTTATTCCCGGCTCCTCCCGTCTGTGTCTCCCGTTTCGCGGGGACAGGCGAAAGGCAGGCACAGTACGTGCAGAGAGCGCACAGAGCCGGACCTCAAGCCCTGGGGCACTGATATTCAAGCAAAAACTGCAGAGCACCGCGCCGACTGCGCACCGCACGGTGCCTCAGCGGCGCAGGGCGCGGCCGACCCCAGCCCTGCCGCAGGTGCGCGGGGAGGCGCCCCCGAGCCGCCCTCGGGCCGGCGGGGCGAGGCGGAGTGACAGCTCCAACAGCCAATGAGCGAACGCGCTCCCGGCGGAGAGGCGGAACACCGCCGGGCCGCCTCCTGGGTTGGTGGGAGAGAGTCGGAGTGACAGCACCCACAGCCAATGAGCGCACGCGCTTCGGGTGGAGGGGCGGGGCGCTAAGGCTGGCGGAGGGGCGCCACCGCCCGCCGCGGGGGGTGAGAGGCTGCCGTGGGCGGAGGGCGCGGCCGCCGCGGCATTCCCCGAGGGAGGGCAGAGGGAGTGAGCGAGGCCGCTCAAAGCAGGGCGTGGGCGGGGAGCGGTCCCCTTCCCCGGCCGCGCTTGGCCTCGGGTAGTCGGGCTGAGGGCGGTACGGCCCGGGCTGTACGGTGAGTGGCCGGCGCCGACAGCCAATGGGCGAGGAGGAACGAACCTTCCTCCCCGCCCCAGAGCTCAGCAGGACCAATGGGAACCCGCGGGGCGGGGCGCGTGAGCCTAGCCGCGCGCTGGGAGGGGCCCGCGCCGCCAGATGCAGGGGAGAGTCGCGCGGGCGGCGGCGACAACGGCAGCAGCGGCAGCACGAGCGCAAGCACAGGCGGCGGCGCGTGCAGTGGAGCGGCGCGCGGGCATGGGGGCGCGGGCAGCGCGCGCCTCCCGGCGCTGAGGCACCAGCGGTACGAGCGGGGCGGGGGGGCTGCCCGGGCGGGGGGGCTGCCCGGGCGGGGGGGCCGGTCCGGGCGGGAGGGACGGACGTGTGCCGTGTGCCCTGTGCCGTGTGCCCTGTGCCGTTCCGCGTTGCGCTGCTGCCCGCGGCCGCGCCCGCAGTCGGGGCGGCGGCGCTGTGGCCGGCGCGGCGCAGGCGGAGCGGGGTCTAACGACGTTCGTGTCGTTGTCAGGATCCGAGTGCAGCCGCGGGAGCCGCCTCTGCTGGTGGCAGCCTGCTGTCACCTTCCCTGCTGGCAATGGGGAATGGACTCTCGGACCAGACGCCGATCCTCTCCAGCCTGCCTTCCTTTCAGAGCTTTCACATCGTCATCCTGGGGCTGGACTGCGCTGGGAAGACGACGGTGCTCTACAGACTGCAGTTCAATGAGTTCGTCAACACTGTCCCCACTAAAGGATTTAATACTGAGAAAATCAAAGTGACGCTGGGCAACTCGAAGACGGTCACTTTCCACTTCTGGGATGTGGGCGGCCAGGAGAAGCTGAGGCCGCTGTGGAAGTCGTACACAAGGTGCACCGATGGCATCGTGTTTGTGGTGGACTCCGTCGACGTTGAGAGGATGGAGGAGGCCAAAACAGAACTTCATAAGATTACTAGGATATCTGAGAATCAAGGAGTGCCTGTCCTTATAATTGCTAACAAGCAGGACTTGAGGAACTCTCTCTCCCTTTCTGAAATCGAGAAGATGTTGGCAATGAGTGAGCTGAGTTCTTCAACACCCTGGCATTTGCAACCTACCTGTGCAATCATTGGAGACGGACTCAAAGAGGGACTGGAAAAGCTATATGATATGATAATTAAGCGAAGGAAAATGTTGAGGCAGCAGAAAAAGAAGAGATGAGTTCTATTTTGACCTTTCTGTTTTAGAGTAGTTACATGGTCAAAATTTGACTTAAGACAGCTTCCAAACCCAGGCCTGCCTGTTTGGATGCCGTTAAACTTAGTTACGTTAAACAATCAGTTGCACAACCTTGCTGTGTGAAGGAAGGCTGTGCAGTTGTGGAACTTTTTTTTTTTTTTTTTTTAACTAGTCTCTTCTGAGTTTTATGGCTCTGTATTATTTCAGAAGCCCTAATAGATGATGTAATGCTATCAGGAAATGGATGTCTAAATAGCCAAATAAAACGAGGGTTTTCTGCTTAGTGTTGTACTCATACGTTTGAGGGTGCCCTCTGCAAGCAGTTTGCGTTGAAGGTGTTTGTATTTTTAAACTTCTAATGCTCGTAAGTGGAGTGCTTAGGTGAACATTATACAGCTTTAAAAACATGTATAAAGCTAGTAACCCATAATTCCGTTGAGGCTGTTTTTTTACCTTGTTTGGGGATTTCCATGGAAGCTTGGCCACATGTGTAGGTTTGGGGTTTTTTTAATTTGGCACTTTTTGAAATTGAATCATGTTCAGTTCAAATACTTGAAATTTTAAGTGCTGTGGATTCTTCAACTCATAAAAGAAAGACTTTGACAAGTGAAAAATGTAAACAACACACTGGAGCATGAAAAAGTGGTTTCCCAACATATAGCATGTTTTTGATATGTAAGGTTTTTATTTTTTAGAAGTAGCCATTCATCATTATACAGTGCTAATCAGGTTTAAACTGTTACTCAAAATTAGTAATTTATTTCTGAATGGTGAGTCCTCCTAGTATGAAAGTAAAAGTCAACGAATTGCAGTAAAGAAGCTATAGAGAACAGTTCTGACTGCTGTGGTTCTAACCAGTGCGGCATTCTTTGCTCTACTGGTGACTTCCTGGCAGTATAACATAACGAAGTAAGGATGGAGGTAAAATTAGCAGACCACATCTTGTATCTTCCCAAAATACCCCATTTTATTAAAGTGGTATTGCTGCGTCACTTTCAACGTATGCTTTTTTTATTGTGACTCTTACAGTATTTTGTGGTTAGGAATGTAATAATGCTTTATACACTCGAACATTAGACACTACCGGGGGCGGGGGTGGGGAAGGGAGGGAAAGGGGGAAGAAGATTTTCAAGATGGGCCTGTGTTCTGCTTTAATTATGCTTTAAGCTGTTCTTGTTTACAGAGTGTGCAAACAGTGTTAACTGGGCAGGATAGTGCTTGACGGAAAAGGGAGGGTAGTTTTTCTTACTGGTACAGAGCTTCAAGTGACTCTCTAGATACTTGGTTAGCAATTGAAAGGGCTAAAGCAGAGCCTGGATTTTTAAGACTAACTTTAGTGGTGCTGTAAAAATTCATCAGAATGTTAGATTATCTTTAAACTTTTGTTGGAAATACCAGATTAAAGAAAAAGTAAAAAAAAATAGCAAAATCTAGTTCCTCCTCTCGACCAGCAAAGTAATACATTTTTCTTACCTGCTGCCATGTATCAGGAGGATGACAGCTACAAATCTGAATGTCAATCGATGTAATTTAGCTATGTTTAAAAAAAAAAAAAAAATCAGACTTTTTAACCAGTAGCTGTTTGACCAGGAGGTAACCAAAAATGCACTTTAGTGTCTTCAATAACTGAAAGTGACAGCTGTTTGTTTTTTTTAATGACATCTTGGTCCTTTTTGAATAAACTGAAGTAGCTTCCAGTGGAGCTTTTGTATGGTGGTTATATATGTACCTGCACTGGTGACATTGTAAGTCACTTACTCAAGTAATGTCTATATTTATAGAAATGTGGATGACTTCTTAAACCTCAATAAACAATTCAAAACAAGCCTGCAGAGAGAAGGTGTCTGACTTCTTGTACTGCAGTGGTACATTCTTATTGACCTCTGTGCACATAGTTCTGCTGTTATTAGAATCAGTATTTCTGTTGAAAACCAAAGTCATATAAATGTGGTGAGGTTCATAAATGTCACGGTGTTAGAAACTGAAGGTATGCAATTGAAAACTTAAGATCAGTGGCATGTCTGTATATTCACAGAAGAAACACTAGCTGCAGTGGCTCCTTTCTGAAATGATAGATCTTGCATAATTTGAAAAGTCTCTTATATAGCTGAACCTATTTTGTTATGTGCAATGTTTAATAGGCACTGTTGGGCATATATCACTTGTACTCACAGGTGGTTCCTGATTTAGTGTCTTTAGGCTTGTGTGTCTGAAGCTGTCTGAGGGATTCACGTGTACTTAAGCCTCCTCGGATTTTACAGCAGTGAGTAGCATGTGTCCAGATGGGAAGCTTCTAATTAGTTTCAGGACCAAAATAGAGACAAGATGAACTTTGTTTAGCCTGCAAATGAAAATGGCTAACTTTGAACAAGAATATCCAATCATGTGTCTCAAAACTGATATTTTCATTTCTGTTTATGTAACTGCTGGCACATCAAAATGTAGGTTACTACTAGTCTGGAGGAAAAAGCTATGCTATCAGAGTGATGCTGAGCCCGTGAATTTGGCATGTAATTAGTATAATCTGGCTAATATTTACCTTCCTATCAGATGCATTGTACTACCAGATGAAATGGAAGGCTGGCTATTTATACCCAGTAAACTGATACCAAATACTAATTGCTTCATCTTCAGTATTCATTAGGCTTCTATTGGGAATAGTTGAAAAGTCATACTGCTTGAAAAAAAACCCAAACAAACTGTATTTTGTACTGCATATTAAACATGCTGGTGTTTCATCCAGTGGCAGTCTCCCTAAACTCTTCTACACATAAAAACAGGAATGAATGATTTTAATTACAAAGATGTGATTGATCTGCACCCTAGCAATCTGGAGGAAAAAGAGAAGGTGGAGATTTCGAAAATGTTATGATCGTTAGTGTTAATACTGACTTGGAAGTAGAAGACTTTGGGGGATGAGTTTTACTTTCAGGCTATACCTTTATCTGTACTAGAACTGTTTTGCTGGAATTTTACAGTGACTGTTCTGAGTACAATACACAAGTGTAGCTGTACCTCTGAAACTGGGTTTTGTGTTACTATGGCAAAGTCTTCAACTATAAACAAAACAGTGATTGCAGTAGAGCATTCAGTATTGTAACACATTGAGTTTCTGCTGGCATAGTCCTGCCAACCTGGGGTCACTTTCTTCTGTATGATGAATCGTCAGTTCTGACCTAAATACTGGTATGTGTAAGAAAATCTTTAGAGGAGCTGAATAAACAGATGTAATTTTGTTACAATGCTGGAGTTACACATCCTAAAAATTTAAAATACTGTTTGCTAAAAGGTGCTAATGTGCTCTGTTCTTCAAGATTCTAGGTAAATACCTTTAGCTGCTTCAACTTTAAGGCAGTAAGGAATTGCATTTAAATCGGTGTAGCACTACTGAACAAACCACAAAGTCTAGTAACCTTATCACTGCTGTTTTAGCTTACAGAAGTTGGTATGGCTGTTTATGCATATGCAATCATTTAGAGTTAACCAGGCTTCAGGGTCTGGTCTCTGTTTTCTAGCTGCATAGCTGTATGTTAGCTTAGGACTGCTTCAACTAGGAAAGATACTGTAAGATAATGAGACTCTTTCAGGTTCTAACATCACTTTTTTGATGATGCACTGAATGTGCACTTACATTTGAAAAAAAAAATGTACTTTCAACCAGGTGACAGTTGAAACCTTTTTCGCTTCAAATTTTCATGTTTTATTGAGACACGATTGATCCTTTTTGTGGAAAGCAATACTTGCAGCCAGTCCGTGGTTCCCAGCCTGACTTGGGTGCTTCTGTACCACTCTGCACAGCACTTTGGTCCTGCAGGAGTTCATTACCCAGGACTCAGAGCAGGGAGGAGCTGAAAGCAGTCAGACTCCTGCAGGTCTGAGTGAAGGCAGTTCTGCCTTGGTGGAGTTATCTGCATCTTGGGTCATTTGTTTACGAATAGCAGGGTGTTAATTAGTGTCTGGCTGAAACTTTGTTGAGAGCTGAGTGTCATTCTTGACATAGGAAGAGGATTTAGGTACTGCATTGATACTACAAAGGACTTGGTAAGGCAGAATGTGGACAACGTAGGCAATCTCATCCACTAACTATATATAGGGCACCGGCCCCGACATGCCGGTCATTGAGTCAGCTGTCAGATTGCAGTGCATGAAGGCTAGCAAATGTTTGCTCATAATGCTGCAAACTTGTTATGAGAGAGAGAGATCTAGGCATGAATCAGTGCTTTTAGGATCAGTGTTTTCACTTTACTGGTGGGTGACTCATCTTTTGAGAGGGTCACAGTTTACAGCCTGCCCTGATAGATTCGTGTCCCCAAGCCAAAACAACCCTTGTTGCTGCTGGGAGGGATGTGTAGGGAGATGTTTGTTTAGTTTGAGGGATGAGGAAAGCATTTTTTTTTTATTTTTTTTTTAAGCCTGACTGACATAGGTATGTGGAGGCCTGTCCCTCATGCTGCTCTGCAGGCTGTGATTATTTTTAGGAGCAGTATGAGACTGCAGAGCTGTGTGAATAAACTGAAGGGAAGCACACAGCCCGGCTTCGCAGCAGGGTGATGCCGGGGTTTGTCATGTGGGCTCCCACAGCCATCCTGCCCATCTGACAACAAACTTAAGGGCCGCTACACAGCTGGTACGTTGCCCTTCGTTAAAGCATTGGTCAATCTCCTTAAGCTAGCCGTAAAGAAGCAAAAATGCAGTTTTGAAGACCTAGCTGAAAAACACCCCACACAGCAAATGAGGGACTTTCGTTTTCTCCCTACCGGTGTCCTGTTCTATTGGTGCTGGCTGGGAGTGAGCCGAGGGACCAGTGGGTGGGTGATGCTGCCTGCAGCCTGCCTGCTCACTGCAGGGCCGAGTAGTCACTGATTTTATTCAAAGGCAACCACAAAATCTAAGGAGAAAAACCAGGCAGGGAGGCTAGACAGTACTTCTAGGCTAAATACCTGCTTGCAAAGGGCTCACGAAAGTAAGAGATAATAATCCCTGGGCTTTGAAGATTATGGTTTCTTAGTTCCAGCTATATTTACACAGCTGCTCCACAAGAATTAAGAGCTAAAGATGACAGAATAGTTAGGAAGGAGAAGGTCAAGTATGGTTGTTGACTGTGGGGTATGTGGAGGGAGAGAAGATTTGAAACTTGTTTTTTTTCCTAGCTTTTCAAGACATATTGAGCCCTAGGGAAACAGATGTGCTTTTAGACTGCTTAATTGGTTCAAAATCTTTATTATTTTATGCACTGCAGTTTTCCTATTGCTGAAATAAACAATACCTCATTTAAGAAAGCCACCTAATCGCTGCAATAATCTCCGAGTCCATTGACAAAAGAGAAGGTTAGCAGGGGTGTTGAATCTTGTAAAATGTGCTGAGGGCTCCTGGCTGGCTCTCAAGCTGCTGTATGTCAAGGTCCTTTCTAAAAATAACAGAATGGTAGAATTTAGGTCAAGCAAGATAAAGGTGTGAAGCCTGATACCTCAGACGCTAACTACACATAGTCCAGAGGTACCACCAACCATGTAACTGCTTATCTTCTGTTAACACTGTGAATTATAATTTAGGATAATTTCCTTTGGAGCATAACATTTTCATCCCTTTCCTATTTCAGTGTCACTTGCCCTAAAAGCTTTAACAGGTTGTTTTGATATTGGAACATCATTGAGTTGGGTGTCATAAGGAAGAGTTTGTGAATGAAGAAGGTCAGGAAAGAGTGTCCACCTTTGCTTCAATGACTTGATTAGCTAAAACCAGTCTTCTTGTAAAGCGGGCTTAACATGGACAAAGGTGATCTAGAAGAGAGAAATTTTCTAAAAATATCTTGTTTCTAATACCAGCTGAACTACACTGGTCTTATAATTATTGTATGCTGTTGAAGCCGTGGGCTGCTGCTGTTCTCTTGACACCAGTTGCACGATGATCTCTAAGATGTCTTCAACCATTTATAGGCAATGTGTAAGGTCTCCATGGTAATTCTGAATTTATATATCCATGATGTATGTTTTTAACTA